CCCCCCCCCCCCCGCCTAGGAGATCAGGCCCTCTGGGCAGCGTCTGTGAAGCTCTCCCCTGCCTTGGGATGGGGAAGGTTCCCTCTGCTGCTTCTGGCCTGCCAGCCCCGTCTTTCCTGGTAGCTAAGGAGTCGGCTGGGAGGAGCAGCTGCGGTGGCCGTCCCTTTGACAGGCCAGGAGGAGGTGCCCAGCACACCACGCGACGTGGCTGCGTTCTGACTCCCTGCCTGCTGAGGACCAGCATTTCACTGCACCCCAAGTCCCTTTTTTCTCTACCCCTCTTTTGCCTCAGGCCCTGGAGGACCCTGCGCAGGTGACCACAGAGTCCCCCGCCCCCCATTTCCCCATCCAAACCGAGCTCTTCCTCCGTGTGCCACCACTGACTGCTCTCTTTGCCCCTACTCTTTGTCCGTCAGAAGTAAAATACCTGCTGGCCCAAAGGTGTCTCCAGGCAGGGAGGTAAGTGTCTGTCCCCTTCTTAGAAAATGCAATATCCCCCACCCCCCAACCAGGGGTGTGCCCTTCTCTGTCTCTCTCCCAGTCTCTCTCTCTCTCTCTCTGTCTTTGTGTGTGTGTGTGTGTCTCTCTCTCCTATTCTCACAATTCTCCAGGAATTTCCAAAGCAAGAATTCTGGGAGTTGCAGCCCACAAACACACACCTACAGACACCTACATTTCTCTCACCTGGAGAAAGGTCTCCCCCTGGAAGCTGTGTCGCCCCCCCTCCCCAGCCTGTGCTTCTTGTTGGCAATGTTTTAAAAAGGAAGGTGCCACTGTTTCCTGGGAATGGTAGTTCTTTCAGAGGCCCTTTCCTGGAAATGGTAGTTCTTTTGAAGTCCCCCTCTTTAAAGCCTAGTGGGCAGCAAAAGTGCAACTCCCAGGAAGCCTCTTTCTTCTCTCCCCTGCCCCCACCTTTACACGGACAACAGGAAGGACATGCCAGATGAGGCCACGCAGATTTGCAGGGAGGCCTTTTTCCAGGTGAGCAGAGGGTAGGTGTCTGGGGTGTGTGAATGCTTGCGTGTTGACATTCCCAGAATTCTGTTTGGTGTCCAGAAAGGCAAAAAAGCAGGCTCTGAGCCATTCCTCACTTGTGGACCAAAGTGTGATTGTTCGCTTTCTTTGATGTGGTCAGGGAGAACTTTCTTCTGGGTCTCACTGAGAAGACGGTGCTCGGCTGAGAGGCATTTGCTCACCAGCTCAGGAGTAGTGCTGGCCAGGGTCAGGGTCAGCCCGAGAGAGCAGGTCGTGCTCTGTGACTACACCGCCAATCCAGGGGCCATCCTTAAGGTTCCCTTGCCCACTCTTTTATCTTGCAGGGTGAGCGAAGCCACGGAACACTACCTGGACTTGCTGGCCCTGTTGCAGGAATGGCCTCTTCGCCAGGTAGGCCATCCCTTGGCAGCTGCTTCATCCCTTGTGCCAGTTCATACTGTCCGCTGATCTGCATGAATGTGGACCTTTCGCACTCTCGGAGGCTTGCCAGTAAATCAGTGAACCCTTGCAACAAGTTCCATAAAAGCCCACTGGAACAGGTCCAGAAATGGATATTAAGCCACAGGAGCACTGCTCTCCCCTCCTGATCCCATCATCTTCTACAATCCTAGCATAAATGTACAGACGGTGAAAAGCTCCCAGATTATGTAAAGGGGTTGCAAATCTCCTGTTTTAACAGCAGGTTAGCTGGATTTTAATGACAATGTTCCCCCCCCCCCGGTTTGTATACTATTGTTAACCTTGTTGTCACTGTACAGTTTTACTTATTGGGAACTGCCTTGGTTGCTTTGTGAGAGTAGAGTGGCATACAATTAATATAAATGAAACAAATAGACTTTGAGTTGCTCCTTGCTTCTGGCACGGGTTGCCTGACTGGCGTTTTCAATAACGGGGCTTCTCTTTCTTTCTTTCTCTCTCCTCCTCCTCCGTCCAGTGTGGGAAGCCAGCCTTGCCCAGGATACCCGAGGTGTTTTTAGAGGCTGCCTCTGCCCTGGTGGACCTTGCTAGGCTGGAGGAGGCCGTTGCGGTGTGCGAGGAGGTGGTTGCCAGGACCAGCGAGCTGGTCCCCAAGACGCTGTGCATCGAAGTGGCCTTGGGCGCAGAAGAAGGATCCTCCCTGGCAAACCCTCACACCCTCCTCCAGAAGCAGAAAAGGGAGAGCCTGCGCTGTGTCCTTTGGCGAGCAGCTGCCTACCTCATTCAGGGCTGGGCCTGGGCCAGGCGGGGAGAAGCCAAGGAAGCGATCAGCTACTTGAGCAGGTAGCGTAGGTGGAGAAGGGCCTGTCTGTGATGTGGAGCAGGAGGTCCTGACTGCCTTGTTGGTTCCATGCTTTCCATGAGAGGGGAAGACAAAAACAAAGTTCCCCTCCTTTTAGTACAGGTTTGGCCTAATCCTGAGTACTGTGTCTAGTTCTGGCCACCGCACTTCAAGAAGGATGCTGTCAAATCAGAACAAGTTCAGAGGAGGGTAACAAGGATGATCAGGGGGCTGGAAACCAAGCCCTCAGAGGAAAGACTGAAAGAACTGGGCATGCTTAGCTTTGAGAAAAGAAGACAGAGGGAAGATAGGAGAGCACTTTCCAGGTTCTTGAAAGGCTGGCCTACAGAGGAGGGGCAGGATCTACTCTTGATCATCCCAGAGTGCAGGACATACAACAATGGGCTCACGTTACAGGAAGCCAGATTTTGATTGAATATTGGGAAAAAACCTCCAGTTAGAGCAGTAAGACAGTGGAACTGATTATCTTGAGGGGGGGTGAGTGCTCCAATGCTGGAGGCATTCAAGAGAAATTTAGACAGCCACCTGGCAGATACCTTTTGATTTGTATTCCTGCACTGAGAAGAGGGTTGGACTCAACGGCCTTAGAGGCCCCCCTCCAACTTTGTTTCTGTTCTTTCTCTCGTCCTCCCCTGGAGGAATGTTAGACTTGCACCATGTGGGGTAGGCTGGCCCACTGGATGCAGCTCTCTGGCCAGGAACTTCCCTTGAATATGTAGGGAAGGATACAGCTATTCAAGTCTGCATGGACTTAAAAGTGGCCCTCAAATTAACCCACATGCCTGGGCAGTGCCGCATTGTTGTGCCTTCTGCCTTCACTTCCTTTCACTGGGTTTGGCGGGAAGCCACGGAATTCACTGATGAATCTGCTTTGGTCTCTGATATTATCTTTACAGCCTTGTAAGGCAGAAACTTGTATTTAAAAAACCAAAGCAAAGGGAACTCCAGATGTGTTGATGCCAAACTCTCTCTCTCTCTCTCTCTTTTTGGGGAGGGGTGCTGTGGGTTTTTCGAGCTCTTTGGCCATGTTCTGAAGGTTGTTCTTCCCAACGTTTCGCCAGTCTCTGTGGCCAGCATCCTCCACAGAGACTGGTGATACCTTAGGAAGAACAACCTTCAGAACATGGCCAAAGAGCCTGAAAAACTGACAGCAACCATCAGATCCTGGCTGTGAAAGCCTTCAAGAATCCATTTTCTTTACTTGAGTGTAATGGTTGTGGGAAATGAGAGGTCCACCACACTGCCAACAGCCCTGTCCTGTCGCCTGTTAGCAAAATTGGGGAGGCTGTAAATAGTCTTCTCGTCACCTTCTGCTCTTCTCCCACTGCACCAAAACGATTCTGCTTTCCTCTCTTCCTAACAGGTGTCTTAACGATCTCCTAAGAGTCCATTTTGTGAACACAGGTATGGATCAAAAGGCTTGTGCTCCTCTGCTGGCTGGGCTAGGCTGGGTGGGTGGGGGCTGAAGAGGCCCCTTTTACGGGACCAGGTAAAAACTGTTGCTTCCAGGAAGTGGAGATGGGTCGGGCCTTTAGGATGATCCCCATTATCCTTTAATCTGTCGTCCCAAGATGAGTCAGCAGTGAGTTCACCATTTATCCTTCTGCGCCACCCGAAGATAACGCCTGGCTGCTTGGAACATGTGTGCCTCTTTCCTCGCCTCTGCTGTTCTGTGGCCTTGCAGAGCTTATTGTGTCCTGTGCTCTCGGCCCGGCCACATTTGAGAGCTAGGAGGCTTTGCAGAGGGTGGAGGATGGAGCTGAAGAATGAGTTTTTTCCCCACTGATTGGACAGCCGCCAATACCGATACTGTATGACAGTCGTCTCTTTCTCCAGCAGGCAGCACTGAAGCAGAAATGGAGCGTGTGTGGGTGTCAGAAGGAAAGGTGCTTCCCCAGGTCAGGCAGCTGGCCCTGACAGGACGAGGAATGCAGTTCCTGGAGCTGGGCCAGGACAAAGAGGCCTTGAGAGACTTCCAGCACAGCTTGCTCGTCTGCCCAGGTATTTCCAGCCTGCCGTTTGTCGACTGATGCGATAGAGAGGTGGCCACAGAACGTGGAACGTCTTAGTGAGACGGAGTGCAGAGAATAGAGGACAGCACCGGGCAGAATGTATGCGTGGGTTGTGGGGGTGGCCGGGGGGGGGAGATGCAACCACACTGCCAGGAATTGCAGGAACTGTGACAGAAAGGGCCCAAGGACAGCGGGATTTCACTCTGGGTTCTGACGGCCCTGCGCTCCGCTCTGGTCCCTCTTCCTTTGTGCATTGCAGAGAGTCCCACTGCTCACTTGTACTTCCTGCACACCCTCTGGAAAGTCGGACGAAGGCAAGAAGCAGCTGAGCACTGGCAGAAGGTCCACCTGAACCCTGTCCTACTGGAGGAAAATCCAGAAAGGTGGGTACTAGGAGAGGATCTGCCAGGAAGGATGAGCGATGATGGGCAGATGGAGCAAAGAAGTCATCATCTTCCATCCAAAGTAGCTGACTTTGATCGTCAGGGCTAGCTCTAGCCCAGATCTTGACCTACCACAGCAAATTATCAGCACCCTCCAGATGCTTGGGATGGTAAATCCCATGACCATAATTTGGTCAATGATACCATAATTTGTAACCTCGGCCGTTTGCAGGGGGCTGATCTCAGCTTTGGTGAAGTCATTGTAGCCCAGAGTTGGACTTTTTTGAGATGTCTTGCTTCCTATAAGCTTCCAATGCAAGACCTCACGGGACACTGTTGAGACTTTTCTTTTTCATTGAAAAACACACTTCCCCCCCCCTCCTCAAAATATATTCCGAGCTTCTCTGGATGCCAAGTCTGTCCTAAGCATTAGATTTTACTTCCTAATGTTTCACCAGTCTCTGTGGTCAACATCTTCAGAGGACAGGAGTTAGAACATCTGTCTAGAGTTCTAACTCCTGTTCTCTGAAGATGCCAGCCACGGAGACTAGTGAAATGTTAGGAAGAAAAACTTTCGGAACATGGCCAAAGAGCCTGAAATACCTACAACCACTGCTGGAACCTGGCCGTGAAAGCCTTTGAGAATACATTAGATTTTACATTTGGGCTCTAAAGTCAGAGACAGGTGCTGTGCTCACCACACAGAGGTAACACCTCCTCTCATTAGGAAAGTAAAACTCTCACCCTTCCAAAACTCTGTAGTGTGTCTCCAATAGCCTTGCTTTGGGAATTGTTGGTGGAATTGATGCAAATGAACGTGTCTTTTACCAAAAGGAATGGGCAGCCTCTGTGGCTGGACATGCATTTCCTTTCTTACAGCTTATGTGTACATACATGCTTGGATATGTCTGCCGCATCTCTCCTTGGCACAGCTAATCACACAGCAGGCTTTTCCAACCCCTCTACCTGCAGATTTCTGTGTTGTTACCACCTGCCCTTGTCCACTAACACAAACCATTGACAGTGACACCCCTGATCTTTTATTTTTCAGGTCCTTACCATTATACCTGCTGCTGTATGAGAAACAAATGAAGTTTCCTCACGTGGAATCTCTCGCCAGCAGACTAGAAAGCTTTACTGAGGAACTCTAGAGCTGCTGCTGTTTGCCTGCCCTGGCCAGATTTCCTTTCAAGGAGCCAGATGGCCCTGAGAAAGCTTTTACCTGGGGACTGAGGGGGTGACAGAAGTGATCCTTGCCCTGTTGAAAAGGAAAATCACCCTGTTGTGGAAGGTCTGGTGAACTTCTGGTCCTCCTTTTCCTTGTTATCATTGCCTTCTCATATGTTGATGTTTATGGAATGAGGGCCAAGTATATTTTGTTCCTTCTCATCCTACATGGAGAAATTGTTTCGGGGAATAATTTAGGCAGTATCAGAACTGCTGGAGTAAAAACTTAAAAAGAGTTTCAGTTGCCTTTCTCTCCCCCACCCCCTTCTTTTTAACTGTGGAAAGGATTTGGGGGAAATTCTTGTTGTTGAGTTGTTTAGTCGTGTCCGTCTCTACCTGACCCGATGGACCAGAGCACGCCAGTCCCTCCAGTCTTTCATTGCCTCCTGGAGTTGGGTCAAGTCATGTTGGTCACTTCGATGACCCTGTCCAGCCATCTCCCAACATCAGGGTCTTTTCCAGGGAGTCTTCTCCCTGGGGGAAATTCTTACCAAGCAACTAATCTCTTTAAGAAGCAAAACCAAACCTTGGTTCTCTCCCCCCCCCCCCCCCCCCCCCTCCTTCCCCCCCCCCCCCCCCCGACATCCTTCTCTGCCCCATTTGCCCATCTCCCTGTGCCTAGGAAGCAGGTGGCCCTGTCCCTGCCCCCTGCCCCTTTTGGCTTTTGTTGTCTGATAGTTTTAAAAGGAAGATGGAAAGATGTCGGGAAGTCTCCAGAACAATAATGGTCAAGTCCCAGGAAGGGAAAGCACCTGGAACAACCAGATCCAGTCAAGGCAAAGTACAAAGCTCTCCCTGAGGAGGCCCTGAGGAAGAGTTTTGCCTAGTGGGTTGCAGGATTGGCCCAAGAACCAGCTGTGCAGTACCCAGCTCAGACTCAACCCACCTGATCAAGACAAAATTTAGATTGATTTCCTGTTGGCCCAGCCTTGACACTCCGCTGTCAACTCTTCTCAAGCCTTCCTGTTTGGAACAAAGAGCTGGTCAGACTCTGGTTGATACAACCTCAGCTTTTGCACTGGCTACCCTTTATTGCCTGCTCCTTTGCATTATCTGCTACCACCTGCCTTCTGTACTGACCTGGTCCGGGTTTGGGACTTTCTTGACACCCAGAGAGACAAGACTCTTGCTGGGCACAAGAGGTGCTGGCTCACTGGGCTGTTCCAGACAAGGAAAGAGTACCAAGATGAATGAAGAGAGACCCCAGAAATCATCACATAAATGGAAGGTATAAAGTTGGATTATTTGGGTCACATATGGAAGAATATCTCTACATTTTATTTTTAAGGCAAATAGTTGAAAAACTGGGCCAGACAGGAAGCCCATGGCTCTTGAAATCAGACTACCAAGAAGATATTACTCAGCTCAGAACTTTTTAAGTCCTATCTTGACTCACAAAGCTTGCCTTGGGTCATGTTTAGTTATGAACTGTCTGAATAGAGAAGGCAGAGGAATCAAGCAGTGCCTCCTTGATCCCAGAAGTTTGTGGACCAGCTGTGAGGAATTGGTGGGAAAGGGCCAGCATGATCCTGAGAGACCTGGTGAGGGAGGGTATGATACCTATTGCAACAAAACAAAAACGAANNNNCCCCCCCCCCCCCCCCCAATAATAGCAGCAGCCGCCAGCCCCTATAGTCATTCATGTTGATACTGCTGCTCTTGGGTACCTCCCGCCAGGGCTGTGCAAGAGAAACACCCGTCCTGCTTGCGCTGGCTCAGTGACAATATACGGTACCCCACTCTTCTCACAGATGCAAGGCCCCTACCAAGGGTGCCTGGATGCAGTGGGGGCCGGGGGGGGGGCACCAGATAGCGGGAGAGAGGCTTGGTCTCCCTTCTCCTCCTGCGAATCTGGAACATTTTCCCTTTCTTTTTGACACGTGTTTCAAGGAGAGCCCGGGGCAGGGCTGCGTTGCAACCCCAGTCGGAGGCCACGGCGGCAGCGCCCCTTTCAAGGGTTGGGCAACGTGGCCCAATCCTGCTCCCAGCTGNAGCCTGGCCTGCACCCCTGGCCGCCCCTTTGGGCCTGGGCCCAATGCCTGCTGGTGCCCGGGGGGAGCACGGCCCCTGTCTCGGCGCCGTCTAAGCTCCTTAATCAGGGAACGGCCTCCCACTCTGCACATGCTCAAAAGCGCCCGTGGCGCCGCTGACAAACCCACGCGGTTCTGAAAGGCCTAGCCAGGCAACTACTTCCGGGGGCCTGCACCCCTGGCCGCCCCTTTGGGCCTGGGCCCAATGCCTGCTGGTGCCCGGGGGGAGCACGGCCCCTGTCTCGGCGCCGTCTAAGCTCCTTAATCAGGGAACGGCCTCCCACTCTGCACATGCTCAAAAGCGCCCGTGGCGCCGCTGACAAACCCACGCGGTTCTGAAAGGCCTAGCCAGGCAACTACTTCCGGGGCGCGTCGTGCTCTGCTTGTCAATCAAAGGAGGCGCCGTCGGTCCGCGGACTGGCCCCCCCGTCCAAGACAGCGCGGCAAGCGTCATGGAACGTTCCTCTTCGAGAAGTGCCCTGACGTGTCACTCACCGGGCCGCCGATTTTTGATTGGCCTCACCGCGTTCGCTCGCCTGGGACGTAACCCAATCAACACCGGGTTGCTAGGCGAAAGAGAATTGAGGGTGGGCCTCTCGACCGAAACTTATATTCCCTCAACGGACATTGGCGGATTTTTCTGATTGGTTGTGCTGTTGCCCGGCGGCTCCTGCTTCCCGGATGAGCCTGCCTCTTAAGCAGCCGGAGCCGGCTGGAATCCTCCTCCTCTTCTCCGCATTGGCCGAGCGGAGCCAGTTCTATTTTTCCGATTGGCTGAGGCGCCACCTGTTGCTAGGCAGAGTGCGGCCTAGCGAAATAGGGACCACTTCGGTGGGAAGGTAACAGCGTTCCGTGTCTAAGTTGCACTGGCCATGTGACCACGGAAGATTGTCTTCGGACAAAATGCTGGCTCTATGGCTTGGAAACGGGGATGAGCACCGCCTCCTAGAGTCGAACACGACTGGACAAAAATTGTCAAGGGGAACCTTTACCTTTACCTTTACTTCAGAATATACAGTAGCCTTTCCCTCCCTAGAATCAAACCAGGATAAATTACATTTATTTCAGGAGCTGAAAGACTTTGCACTTATTTACTTGATTTCAGTAAAAGCTAAGATGTCCATGCTGGCTGTGGAATTCTGAGAGCTGCAATCCAAAGATGAGACATTTTCCTTCTCTGAATGATAGCCGTTTCTCTCTATAGATGAGGGATTGCTTTGGCAGAGAGAGGTAGGCTATCCTAAATTGGTTCTTCATAACTATCAGAGAACTATCTTTCATCTGCAGTGATTGTCATCTTCACCCACAAAGGGATGAGCATCCATTTACTTGCCTTGAAAGTTTGTGTTAACATTTTGAGAAAATCTAGATGATGCACCTTCCACCATCCTTTTTGTCTTCTTCCTGTGATTAACTTCCACATATTGTCTCCTAATGATGCTGCCTTCTCCATTTTACTCAAGTCCAATTAATTTACCTTGAGAGATACCAGGGATGGGAGGTGCTTACAAGGGGGCAAGCTGGTTAGCAACCTGGCCAGGTTTGTACAACAGCCCTGAAGAGTCTCCTCCTCCTGCTCCTCCTCCTCCTGCTCCTCCTCCTCCTGCTCCTCCTCCTCCTCTTCTTCTTCCACGAGGCCACTTCCTGCCCTGGATCTGTCGAGTCATTGGGGCCGCGCGCGGAGGGCCCAACATGGTGGCCGGGCGGCCGCCTCCACCCCCGGCCCCCGCGGGGCTCGGCTCGGGCTCCTCTGAGGCGCCTGGAAAGACCCC